TCATCAGAGAGAAACCTTAAGGTAGTACATGGTTTTGTAGAGAAACCATGATTACAACTACTCCAGCGATAGCTGTAAATCAGGATTGAAGGGTAAAGACTCCTACATCCAATAAGACTTGGATCTTATCCTTCAGGGTATAGCATTTAGAGGTGGGATGATGAACCATCCTGTGGTACGCATAATAGTTGAGATCATCCGTTCTCGACATCTCCTCGGGTCGCATCGATTCTAGGAGCTTGATTTTTTTCGCCTTGATCAAGGATTTGAGTATCGGGATGACTTGATCGTCTTGGAAGTCGTACTTCTGCTGAAAGCGGCTATCCGAAGATTTGCCCTTCTGCTTTGACGAAGATTCAGGGGTGAGGTTGTCTTGGTCATCACCTCCTTGAAAATCACATGGCTCCTCAGCATTTAGTCTATTGAGCATGCTTTCGACCTGTTCTCCTTGACGAACAAGCTCTTTCCAAGTTCGGGTCTTCACTGCTCCAATCTTGGATAAAATATGGATCGAGAGATTATTGCGACACATCTTGATCAACGTACTTTCAGAAACTTGATCACCGCAATGCAGCGATCGATTTCTAAATCTCTTGACAAAGTTACTGACAGACTCTGTCTTCTTCTGCTTTTCAGTTAGCAGGATGGCCATAGATACTTTTGTATCATCGTCGAAGAATCTGGCCAGAAAAAGTCTTTTCATGTCCTTCCAGCAAGTGATGGATTCAGGTTCCAGTCTGCGAAACCATTCAAAAGCGACCCTCTTGAGGGTACTAATGAAAAGTTGAGTTATAATAGGATCATTCCCCACTATGTGTCCATTCTGCGCCTGGAAATAATAGATGTGTTGGGTCGGAGAACCCTTGCCATCGAACTGCAGGAGGCTGAGTGGTTTAAACTTTGGAGGATAGGGAACGACGTCCCATTCGGCAGGGTATGGCCTGACGACCCCTAATTCTTTGAAGTTCCTCTGAAACTTTAAAGCCTTAAGCTACTTCTGGAAATCGTCCAACTTCTGATCTCGGTCATTCTTACGCGGATTGGACTCAGCTTCGGATGATTCAGAATGAATATAAAAAATATTTTCTTCCCCATCTTCTGCATTATCGCCATCTTGGTTTCGACGGCTAGATTCCCGAGCAATGGGTGAAGGTCGCTGGTGCCTTGATTCTGAGGATTCAGCGGTGGCTTTCTTCTTCTCCTTGAGGAGTTTGTTCACCATATCCTCCAAACGTCTAATAGACTCCTGTTGTTGGAGGATGGTTGATTGTTGCTCTTCCACCTGCCTCGCCGGGTCCTCCTCACTTTCGGCCATGTGAGCACTTGCTTGTGCACTTTGATCGGTATTGGAATGCTGAGAGGTTACAATAGCTGAGTTTTCAGGCTCTTCCTTAATCTTATCTGTGATGCCCGTTAATCGACGGTAATCAAACGAGATCACCGCACCAGTACGAGTACGAGTGTGTTGATACACTCCCTGTCCTTCGACAAGCATTTCGTCTAGTCCTGGAGAGTATTCAGGATCAGAAGATTCAGAAGAATAAGCCGAAGCTTTGCTCTTGCCCTTGGTGACCATGTTAATCGTCACTTCAATGTGGCGATTCTTGGATGCTTGTTTCTTGGGACGAAAGCGTCTTCTTCTTGATGATGAGACCGTCGACGGTTCATTTAACCGTTCGAAGACTGAAGGCTTATGAGTTGACTCCCCACATGAACATTGGGAAAGTACTGCAGAGATGAGTTTCTCACAGCAGCAATGAGATTGCATTTGGCTCATGCTGCGCTTGCGCGTGAGATAATCCCGAAGGTCACCAGCTGGACAACCCCCAGTCAACTCTGTCATCTTGGCTTTACCCAGGTGAGACCCTCTTAATGATAGAGGTTGATGAACTTGGGTAGACTGACGAACTCCATCCTGAGGTTCGTTTTCTTTACGAACGTCAGTATGAACCGCTTGTTGAAATTGTTGAACCTCTTTTCGAGCATGAGGTTCGTTGTCGGAGCCTACTCGGGTACAAGGGTGAGATCCTTCATTCGGACGTTCTTCATTCACCTGACCCTCGTCAGACTTGTTGACCTTAGGTTGATTAACCCTCGGTCGATAATGAAAACCGTCTAGCGAGACCAAAGCTCGAGCCCTGCGGCGAGCTTGGTTCTGACGCTGATGTTGTCGAGCGTGTCTCGACAATGAACCAGTAGAAACCTTTGCTTCAACCAGAGCTGAGCGAGGTTCGTTTCAAAAGCTATAATTTGGCTAGTAGAAGCCGAAGTTCGGCTAGGTTGTTTGACAACCTATTTCTTAGCCTGACGGCTTGTTCCTGGAGCCTCCTCTTTGAGGGGCTTGGACTTTTCCTCGAGATTAACTCGAGTTGAATCATCAGGAGCCACTTGGGCTGAGGTCTCATACAAGACTCGACGACACTTACGTGCCTTCGTGGGACTAGACTTAACCCGAGGAAAGAAAATCCTCATATTTGGACTGGTCAAATTCGATGACCAGAGTCTCGACGTCTGTTCCCACTGCAATCTTGTCTGATTGCGCCACCACCATCTCGTCGGAGAGAATAGCTGCTCCCAATGTGATCGCCATCGTCTGTAGGTTCGAAAAATTTAAGGATTGATTGATTATCTTGTTTTAAGAAATGGGTTCGATCACTTGGTACGAAATCCTTACAATCACTCACTCTCTCTCGATTATAGAGGATGAGAAGATTAATTCAGCTTCTCTTTTGTTTAAGGTGGGTTCTAGGTGGCGAAATGATGCTTTCCCCAATGCTTGAGTCGAGCTTGCCTCCCGTTGACGATCAGACCAAGATCACAAGAGCTTTTGACCTTCGTTAGCCGGCTGGAATCGAAGTTCGTACTCCGAATCGGCGTGCAGAAACTCTTGTCTCTGATGCTTCGTGAAGTCCAAGCTTGAAAATCTCCAATTAATTAACAATTCACCAACCCTCTTCATAGCTGCTTGCGGGTATTTATAGAGCTTTAGCACGTAATTGACGTGCTATAAACGCGGGGTCGTGGGTGTAACCGACTCCTGAGATTTAGCCTATGTTGACTAATGGAGCGTAACGTACTCCTTAGATTTAGCCCACGTGGGCTGACTTGGTCCTCGTGGCCGTTACAACCTGATTTAATGTGGGTGACGAACTTTGTTGCGTTGGTGAACCTCGTCCTTGATGTCGAGCCTCACTGCGTAGCGAGTTTCGTCTTTGATGTCGAGCCTCGCTGCATGGCGAGCCTCGTGAGCTTCTTTTTAATAATGAGCTTCGTCTTCACTGACGAGCTTTAAATCTGATGACAAGCTTTGTTTTCATTGACGAACTTTACCTCCGATGATGAACTCCGAACCTCGTATCCAATGACGAGCTTCGAACCTTGTTTCTAATGACGAGCTTCGTCTTTGATGTCAAGTCTCATTTTTAATGATGAGATTCAAACCTCGTTTCCAATGACGAGCTTCACATCTTGTTTCCAACGATAAGTTTTGTTGTTTGAGATGAGGTTCATCATTGTAATGACCCTCGTCATGCTCGTTATGAGCTTTAACGTTCTAAGGCCAAATGATTAGCTAATGATCTATGAAGATCCATGAGAGTGGAGGAGAGATAGGCTTTATTCATTAGCCTCTTAATTTCCTCCCCTCTTTACATGTTGATTATGCCTATTTATAGGCTTAGGGCCATTATGGAGTGAGTTAATGAGTTTTAACTCCCCTTATAATGAGGGAGTTAGTGGTCATTAACTCCCATTTAAATGAGGTCATTAACTCTCCTTAAATGGGTGAGTTATTGGTCATTAATCCTCCTTCAATGTAGCCTCTAAAAATTATGACAGACGAGGTTCGACTACGTAAGAGGTTCGTTAACAATGGCATCGACGAACTTTGTCTTCAATGACGAACTTTGTCTTCAATGACGAGCTTCGTTTCTGGATGAACTTCGTTTTTGGACGAACTTCATCTTCAATGACGAACTTCATTTCTGGGCGAACTTCGTCTTTTGATGGGTAAGGCGTTGTTTGTCCTATTGAACTGAGACAAACTTCATGAATTGAGGCTGAGGTTCGTCGTTGTGACGACTCTCGTCGTGCTTGTAGTGAGGTTCGACTCTCCTTCGTTTCTTGGCACTTTTTAGTGTCTACAGGGGCCTATATGTTTTTTTGTAGCTTTCAAAATTTTCTGAGTATTATTTATAATTTTAAAATTTTTAGTAGCTATTTGTCGTTTTTCATATTTTTTGGGTTGTTTATCAATTTAAGGGTTAAATTGCAAATAACATTGATTTGAGGGGTATGTACTATACTTGAGGGTTAATTTTAGCAGATGTGAAATTTTAGTGTTACGTTATTTTGGAACTTAAGTGCAAAAATTCAAAATATTTTAGGTGTTTTCTGAAATTATCTAACTTACTAAGGATTTAATGAGAATTGTAGATATTTTGGGAGTTGAATGCTCAATTTAAAGTTAGGAGTGGTTCATTGGAATTCACTTTTTAAAATAATTAAGGAGGGACAATGATAATTTTTAGATTTTTTTAATTGTGGATGGTTAGAACTTGTTTAGAATTAACAAAAATTTGATTTTCAGAATTTTTTACTTTTTTATGAATAGGAATTTCTAGTAATGGATATGAATGATTTTAATTTAATGAGGATTCTTAGGAAGATAGAATTAGTTGGACGCGTGTCATCTTTTAATAGAATAGATAATTAGTTCCACTATTTGATCTCTTTAAATATCAAATTTTGGTTAATGATTTTACCTTTAAATTATTTGAATATATAAGGATAAAATTAGAATGTAATATCTAAAAGGATTAAGGGTAAAATTGACCATGGAAAGTTTTTCTCAAAATCGCTCTTTTATAAGGAGTATAATATGATATGATATAAATATATGTACTGGTGTTCTATATATTTTAGCCTTTGCTGCTTCTTTATATACTTTATTTTCACTCTTAGATTTTTGACTCTAGCAATCTCTTTTCTCTTCCTTGCAGGGATGGGTAATGTCAGAGTCATTGCTTAACCCTGGACGTGCTCGGCTCCGTGAAGTAAAAGAACTATAAAGTATTTTTGCCTCATCCAAACCATTAGACATAATCTTAACTTCATACAAACATCTGGATACGCGGCTAAAGATAATGTGTGCACATTATATTTGGAGTATGGCTTATACCAACACCAGATCCAGTTTTGTATAGTCAGTGGTTTTATACGTCCATCGTCTTTTGACTCGAGTCTATTCCTGGAACGTGAAAGTTGTGAAGTTTGTAGAGAACTTCGAAGATTCTTGATAGTTTCTCAAGGTCACGGAAGAAATTATATGCAGTCTTATATCATGTATGCATATTATTTTGTTGATAATCTTGCAAAATCAGAATGGATGATCCTGTAAGCATTTTCAGGCGTCTTTTCCTTGTTTAGAGTGAAGTTCAGTGGGGCACCCTCTTAATGAGAATGGTTCTTCCTTGGGAAAACTTCAAGCGAGCCATAGGGGTTTTCTAATGCAAAAATATAAAGATGTGGTTCATGCAACAACAAGAGATTTTGAAAATTTAAGACGTCGATTCGATTGTATGTATTATAAATATCTTCTATACAACAGTACAGTCTAGCCTTATTTGGATGTATCGTAAGAATGTCAATTTGGCATCTTTCTTTTGTCTATTCACAATTTCTAAAGCCAATTTTGTATTAACTTCTAATATTCACAATCTGCACGATACATTTTAACCTTGATGTATTGTAAGAATTTCAATTTGGCATCTTTCTTTTGTCTATTCGCAAACCTTTCCTAAAGCCAACTTGACAAATTTTGTATTAACTTCTAATATTCACTATCTGCACCATTTGGTAGAGCTGATATGTATATACATTTCTTTACCTCGGTCTGTAGGATGCAACAAAAATTTCAATTTTGCCACTCATCTGGGAGATTTTAACCTATATTTTCAGTGCCAAGATCCTCTGCATACGTGCGCTGTGCCTCTTCCTATGCATGCCTCGTTGGGATCAAACTCTCAGGCAGGCATGGGAGGCCACCACGCCCTCCAGTGAAATCCCAGAGCTGCGGGCATTCTTCTTACCTTCTAGTCTGGTGCCCGCAATGATGGAGACACTTCATAGATCTAACATCCCCTTATCAAATTGTAGGAAATCATTAACATAAATATGTTGAATTTTCAAGAGGGCTTAACTCTTACATGGCGACGACAGTTTCCTTTAGAGTCAGGCAACCTATGTCATGTTCCCTGCAGGCTTGATGATTCCAGTAACACGTATGGTGGTGCCGGCAGTTACCTTTGATCATGGAAGAGCCATGTCCTCTCCTCCCCTGGAGCCACATTGGAATTGGAGTTTGGACTCGCCTCCAATTAGGGGTGTCCATCCGGGCCGGGCCGGCCCGGTCCGGGCCAGGCAAAACCGAAGCCCTGACCCGGGCTCTGGGCCGGCCCGATTTTTTTCCCATTTTTAATTTTTTTAAAATTTTAAAAAAACAATAAATTATAAAATATACATAAAAATTACAGAAAATATCATAAAATTTTTTAATAACTTGAAATGACATAAATTACAAGTACAAAAAATTATAAAAATAAAAGATGATAAGAATAATTTCTTTATTAATAATCAATAAATTCTTTATAATTATAATTTTATTTCGAAATTCATCGCATCACAATAGATGAGTAAATCCTAACTAGGTTGGCACCTACTCACCCATATCACAATCATTTGTAACTTTTTTCGAAATAATTCATTACAAATTTAAAGCTAAGAAATAAAAATTACAATTTGATGAATATTATCTAATCTTTATATCTATCTGCTAGTCTCAACTCTTCAAATTTATCTTCAATTATAGCAATCCGATCGATGCCTTGTGTTCGCTTCTCGTATCTCCACCAATCTTGTAAGCACATCACCGCTTGTACAGTATACGGATCTAAGCATGTCCTGTGGTCGTCGATCAAACGTCCTGCTGTGCTGAAGGCGGATTCCAAAGCTACCGTCGAAACCTGCACTGATAGTAAGTCACGAACCATGGTGGAAAGTATAGGATATGAAACTGATCCATATACTCTCCACCATTGCAAAATATCTAAAACATTTCCTTGACATTTAACTAAGGAAGTAGAAAAATATTCATCTAATTCAGAAACCTCTAATCTTGAACCAATTCTAGATCCACCCGTTAGTTCAGCTACCATTGCATACCTATCAAAACTTACACTTTTACCTCGACCTGTGCTCGAAGCCGAAGGCGCCGAAGCCGAAGGCGCTGAAGCTGTAGACTGTTGTGCAGCTACACCGTATCTAGCTGCATACTCATCATATAATGTTTAAAAATAATTTCTAATAGATAAATAATGAGAAGTAGCAGTAAGGGTGGAACCATCATCTAAGTCTATAATCTGTCCACCATACAATGATTGTAACAAACTTCGAAGACTAATATCCTTCAAACATGGATCAATAAGAACCCCCAAACCAAAAATATGAGGAATAGACCTAAAATACTTATTAAATTTGCTCTCCATTTGAAAAACTATATTTCCAAAAATATTATCCATACGATATTTGGCAAATTTTTTTTGAATATTTAAAATTTGTAAAGCAGCTAAAGTAATAGTTGGATAATAACAACCAGATAATAACATAGTAGCATCATAAAAAACTTGTAAGATCTCATTTAATTTACATATAATTGTCCATTCATCTTCACTTATTCCATAAGTACTACCAGAGCTAGAATTAGAAGCATAAAAATTTATAAAATCATTTATAATTTTTTTATATTCTATTGCTACACTTAACATTGCATATGTGGAATTCCACCTATGGTCAACATCTTTTGGAATTAGTCTAGGCTTATAATTTTTTCTTTTACAATATTGTTTTCATCTTTTAATTCTCATTTCAGAAGCATTATGCATATTAGTAACTGTTCTATTTCAGAAAATACACTTTGAACAATTAAATTTAAAATATGGCAGATACATCTAACATGAAAAAGGTCACCATGACATGATAATGACAGAGTTGTTTTAATAAAATCAACAGCTATATTGTTATTACTTGCATTATCTAGTAAAAAAGAAAATATTCTTTGATCAATTTCTAGTTTCATAAGTTCTTCAATTATTAAATTTGAAATATTAATACCAATGTGTGACTCTTCAATTGTAATAAAAGAAACAACTCTTTTAAACATTTACCAATTTTTATCAATCCAGTGTGCTGTAATACATAAATAACCAGTTTGTACTCTAGATGTCCAAATATCAGAAGTTAAAGAAAATTTACAGTTTAAATTTTTAAAATAAGAAATTATTTTTCCTTGTTCCTCCTGATAATATTTTAAAATATCACGTTGACAGGTTTGACGAGAAAATTTTGTAAATGCAGGATAAAAATCATCTCTAAACAAATCTTCAAATTCATCATCTTCTACTAATTTAAAAGGCAGGTTTTTAAGAACAATAAACCTGATTACGCATTTCCTAGCTCGGGCAACGTCATAATTCTAACTACCGAGGGTACAAAAAGAGGAGGATTGGGAAATCATAAACTGTCGGATATCACCTTGAAGATTCTGGCCTTTGTTGTGTTTTTCTATATGGCGTTTGAGATGGTTGGTGCTGCTCTTATGATGAGCTTGGAAAACCTGGCCGCACAACGCACATTTTGCCTTCTGGGAGATGATCCTACCGTGTTCATCCTTGGTGACGTCTATCTTCTTAAAAAAATTCCACACATCAGATCTTAACCTTTTAGGAGCCCTTGGTGCAGTAGATTAGTCGCCACCAGATTCAGGATTAACACCTGTAGGAGGAGGAGTAATTGTTGTAGGAGGACTCATTTCAGGATCGGTAGGAGATAGGTGTTGCTCTTCATGATCAGATCTAGAAGCCATTTGATAGAAGTATTAGAAAATATAAGAGATTATAAGAGAGTATAATATTGTATAAGAGAGTATTAGAGAGAAGTAGAAGAGTTTTGGTGTGAGGAGAAGAAGTGAAAATCCCCCTCTATTTATAGAGGCAGCCCCCTAGGCAAATGACCAAAAAACCCTCACATTCTAACCATTTTTTGACCGTTTTAAGGGAGGGGCAAATTGGTCAAATGGTCAAATATGACCGTTTGGCCGGTCACGCGGCCGGCCGGTCATAAACGATCAAAATGACGTGCGGCCGGCCGACCCGGCCAATATCCGGCCAACGGTCACAAATTGTGACCGTTGGCGGGGCCGGCCAGGCCAGCCTGGCTTCGGCCCAGTCATTTTTTTCGGCCAACGGTCACAAATTGTGACCGTTGCGCCCGGCCTGGGCCAGCCACAGCCCGCCCGATCTTTTTCATCAACGGTCACCCCAGGGTGACCGTTGTTGTCTAGGCCGGGCCCGGACACGGGCCGCCTGGCCCCGTCGCGACGCGGACCCGGCAGCTGTTTCCAAGCCGGGGCGAATTTGTACCCGACCAAGGCCGCGGCGGGTCTGGACTCGGGTTGGGCCCGGTTTCCGGGCTGACCCCGGGCCCGGGCCGGGCCGGGCCGCAGGCTTTTTGGACACCCTACCTCCAATGTAGAAAGAGTCTGACATCCCACCGATGCACAAGGGGTTTTCCCTTTCTTCTCAATGAAGTCATGCTATGGGGTGAGGGGTGATGGCCTCAGCCAGCAGCAAAATAGTTCATTTGAGAGCAGAGATTTGGACCTCCTCCAGTAGTGTCAAATCGTGGTAGAAGCAAATTGTTCACCTCAATAGACATGTGTGGTCGAGTCTTCCATGGTTGTGTCGTACCGATCTTGGGAGTCTACAACCTCCTAGATGTAGTAACTAAAAGGGAAAAATGCTTCCAGCCGCCAAAACAAAGAACGTGCCTCCCACCCTACAGACTTTTTCAACAGGTACGTTACCTCCTAAAAATAAATTTTTTGTTCTCTGAGCCCCCAAAACACAAAGCCCGAAGAATTTTAACACAAGTAAGACTATAATAACCCGCTCTTACTCTCTACTAACGCCAATTCATCCGCTCTCCCTCCTCCTTCCCCCACTCTCCACCCGCCGCCGCTGCCTCGAGCGTCTGGCCATTCTCCAAACGTTCGAGGACGCAGGGAGAGGAGGACGAAGTGGTCCGCTTCGTGTAGGGGACGGTCTCAAGTTGCGCGAAGTAGATGGAGGCGGGCGGCCGTCAGAGAAAAGACGGCGATGACGACCGACAACCAGGAGTCGCGGTACCAGTACTGGCGGTGTTGGCCTCTTGTTTTTGATGATGTTTAACAAACAATTTACCACTAATGTTGTTTGTCTAGTATTGTGTTTTCTTATTTATTATAGACAAAAACAACGTTGTTGGAGGACTGGATGGAATAGATCTTCAACGATGATATCTATGGAGGTTGGGGAATGTCGGGTTGAGCTTATGCAATTCAAAGTTAAAGATCAAGTTCAAGCTTCATCGCGCGAGTTTACCCAAGTTGAGCTACATTGAAGAACCAGATCAAGCTTGGGTAACTTAGTTTAGGTTTTATATTATGTGTGTTAAGTACGTTAAGCTCATATCTATACACACACATTATATATTGGTTTTCAATATATATATATATTATATATATATATATATATATATATATATATATTATATATATATATTATTATATATATATATTATATATATATATATATATATATATATTATATATTATATATATATATATAATATATATATATATATATATATATATATATATATAGTGTATATTATTAT